TGGACATGAGGTTGAAGGAGCATCAGCGGCACATCCGTCTCGAACAACCGGACAAGTCGGCCGTAGCTGAACACAGCATCGATCTGGGACACCGCATTCAGCTTCAGAATACCTCCATCCTCGCCACCAAGACCCACTATATGGATCGCATCATTAGGGAGGCAATTGAGATTGAACTGCATCCAGGAAATATGAACAGAGAGGGGGGGGGTTTGTCTCAGCAAGTCTTGGAAACCTCTGATCTGTTCTCTTAGAAAACCCCCACCGGGATATGACGCCAGATCCAGAAGGCCACACAGGCCATGACCAACCAACATAACAACCACCCCCACCCCCCTCAGCTTACGGATTAGTGCCCAGCCTTTAACCTTGCCTTTCTCTCCCCTACACAAAAACACGCTTGTCCCAGCTCCCTTCCCCTACCCCTCCCACACTACTGCTTTCACTTGTATACTTGCCCTTCCCCCCTACCCTCTCTGCTCTCACACAGCTGTGTATATTTCCACACAGTCTGCTTTTACCGGTTCTCACGGTCTCTTCGCTTTGCAGATTTCTTATATTTTTTCTTCTACCCTGAAGATGGAGGCGATACGTTCCTCCGAAACGTCGGTTAACACCACATATACACGGTGCCAAATCCCTGAAGACTGCTTTCTTCATACACTTATCATGCTTGAAATGTTACGATCTTTCCCTTGTAATTCAAGATTTAACCCATTTAATTTTGAGGTGATATCTGTCAAGAAAGCTAAATCTAGTAGTCATGATATTTCATCAAGTTCTTGACAATATTGGCCAGGCGATGATTTCAGAAAGTCCCTGACCTCATCCAGAAGACAGAAAAATCGTTCCAGTGTTTTCCCCTGCTAAGCCACCTTATGTCTGCATGGAAAATTATGTCACCATGCTCAGTGTCCGACACATTCAAAAGATTTCTGAACAATCGATGACGAGTAGAAGATGATCTGATATAATTTACCACACGAGTTACTACATTCATAACATGGTCGAACTTCAAAACCTTTGCGCATAAAGCTTCCTCGTGGATAATGCAGTGATAAGAAAGAACACTGGGAAATGATTCATCCTTAGCACAAAGAACAAGAAACCCATTGTTCCTACCAGTAATTGAAGGCGCCCCATCTGTAGTTATAGCAACAAGTTTTGAAAGTGGTAAGTTACATTCTTTCACAAATTTAAGGAACACATTAAATATGTCTTTTCCCCTAGTACATTCAAGAAGTGGCAGCAGTTTAACGAACTCTTCCTTTACCGTAAAATCGCCAAAAACAAGTCTAACAAATACACATAATTGTGCAACATCCGATATATCAGTGCTTTCATCAAGCTGGAGTGAAAAATATTCACATGATTGCAAATCCTGATGTAGTTGAGATTCCAGATTATCAGAAATCTGTTCAACTCGTCTAGCAACAGTTTGGTGAGACAACTGAAGTCCTTTGATAGAAGACATAAGTGCAGATTTATCTGTGTGATCATCGAACAGAGACTTGCAGGCACTGATCATAGCTTCTTTAACTATTTCCCCATCACTGAAAGGTTTTTTCCTTTTAGCTAGCACATGACAGATTTTACAAAAAGCTATTGTTATGTTACTAATTTGCTGGATAGGCTTTGTAAATACACATTGTTGCAAGGTTAATTTAGATTTTAGGTCTTTCACCTTTTGTTTTCTTAGTTCAGATTTCACAGGAAATTCAGTGTTGAAGTTTCTATGGTTAGTCAAAAAATGTCGCTCTACATTACTTTTTTTAGGAACAGATATGCTACCATTACACAATAAACACACAGGTTTTCCTCTGTATTCAATAAAACAATACTGCTCCTCCCATCCACTGTTAAAACTATAACTTCTTTGTCTTTCAGCCATATCAAGAATAGCTATATAAAATAGTACTGCTTATTTGCTCAATAATTTGAAGCACAATAACTAAAATACACTGACAACTGTGTAACTAGTTGAATGTACTATTTGTCACAACACAAGACACATAACAACTGAACTATGGTCGTCACAAACTCGCAAATAATACTGAATGTTTGGCTGAAGAAAGCAAACTTGGAAATATAGCTACTACCAATTTCCATTAGTGTACGACCCTCTTAATAACTTCTTATTGTTTGCAGCATCGCTTTGTTGGGATTAAAGTAACTTTGATTCATATTGCCGATGAGTTTAGAAATTGGCGAAATTATGGTAAGCTGGGCCCCATAGTCATGTTCGTGTCGGTGAATATGTTTGCCCTGCTGATCACAGAAAATTTTATGGTACCTTGACCATAAATCCGAAATCCATGAAAGCCGATTCAGTGGGGACTTGTGACTGTTTGAGGGGGGTTAAAATACCGCTAGGGAAAATTACCTGATCTTGAGAGGACGATGGTTTCTCTAGTGAAAAAAGAATTAAGACTGGGGTTGTTAGCAAGGGAGAAAAGAAACAGGCATACATTTTCAAGCAATGTTTAATACTGTACCATGCTTCAAGGAAATTTTGTGAAAATATTTAACAGTACTCAGACGTTCAAAAATGCCTCATCTTACAATTTGAATTAATATTAAAAATCGGGTCAATTATATGTGCTTACGGAGGGCGCCAGAAAAATATATCACGGGCGCCACGTTGGACAGGGCTGCCCTAAGCTATGATGAAGGTCATCAAGCCCCTATACTTCTGTTTCAGGAACATTAGAATGCAGTGCAGGTTCATGTATGCTCAACTGCACAAATGCATTTCTTGGCAACAGCCGCACAGCTGGACAAAAAAGAGAGACACTGCCCTAAAATTTGCTTTAATTTTTGCAGCTGTTCCTGTACATGCTCTTGCCATCATTACAGTCTGATGGGACACAGTCATCTACTGAGATTTACGGGAGAATGTTGAGTTATCTCAGGGGTGATTCTTCTTCTCAGTATTTAGAATCCACTAAGTCTGTGATTTCCTAAACTGCAGCTTATTGAGCTTATACGTAAACCTGGCACTGATTATACTCTTGTTTCAAGAATATGGGAAGACATTTTTTCAACTATCTGTATATGCACTTATGGACCTAAAGTTACAAAGAGCTCTTCCATGCAAGATTCACAGAAATTAAATTAGAAATACCTGGACACTTATGTGAGTTGCAGTCTTTGAAGTCCACGTCTGGCCCAATGCACTCTTTACCGCCAAAGGCTGGAGGAGGATTGTTACACATCCTGGACCTGTGTTTTGTGCCATTATTACATGAGGCTGAACATGGACTCCAGTCTGACCACTCAGACCTGTATACAGTAAAGGATATTTAGTGAGAACCATAGTCTGTCCAGTCACTGCACAAAACAAGGGTTATCACTCATGACTTCTCCTCTTAACCATTTCATTAGAGTACTGTTAACTATATGCTCCTAGCTTTTACTTAAGCCTTTTGCGCGGTCATTTAAATTCCGCGGCCGTCTCTCCAGCAGTAATATATTCAGCTGGCCATTTAAATTTTGCTCGAAAATGATTTATTCATCATTGTTCTTAAATTCTATAAGATAGGAACATGAAACTTTCACTAAAATGATCTTAAAAGGTGGTTTTATAACCTTACCTTATAATATGAGCGCCCGGTATCTCGGCAATGGAAGCAGTTTGTTTAGAATTTGAGCAGTGAATGGTATGCCTTGAAGCATGAAACTTTCACTAAAATGATCTTAAAAGATGGTTTTATAACCTTGCCTTATAATATGAGCGCCCGGTATCTCGGCAAAGGAAGCAGGTGGTTCAGAATTTGAGCGGAGTATGGTACGCATTGAAGCATTCTACTATACACAGCGCTGTCTCACATTCACCACACCAGTACTGCGTATCTCTCATTTGGCTCTTTTTTCCGTAAACCAAACATCTTCTGTGCGGCCTTGCCTTCTTCCCCGTGGGGGG